TAGACCTATAAAACATTTTTCCAAGGTTCGAGTCCTGGTCAGACTGCAAATTTTCAACACCCTGTGACATTAAAATAATAAATATAGTTATAAAGTGTATTTATATTACTTAAAAATTTTATGGTAAAAGAGAATCATGATTTTATCTCCAAAACTAGGTAAAACTGAGTCTGTAAGGGAACTAAACTTTACCTATTCGAAAAGACTTTGGCTTCATTATCATCATGTCTCCTTGTTTTTTATTATATCGAAGGATGCGGCTAAGTAATAACTGAGCTTGTTCCAGCTTTCTCGGGTGAGATGATTCTACAAGAGTTATTCCCCTTGACAAGCTGCCGCGCTCCTGTTTAATGATTCCTTTAAATAATTTATCCACATCATCCTCTTCTTCTTTACTTAAACTATCACCAGTAAACACACTGTAAAATCTTTGAGGTTTATAAAAGTAACATGTTACAGTTGGCCTTGTGTAATTCCTTGTTAAAGAGTTTATTGTATTAAAGGTCAGAAGCGGTGCCTTGGATACTGTATGCATATATTTACTGTTGCTATACCTGTTTGTTAATAGATCACATGACTTGTTACAATAATGGACAGATAACAATACCTGTCTCAGATGATGTTCATGTTTACATGCTAAAGGAAACAGTGATCGAGCTAGGCACGTCATGCTTAACTGATGAGGTAGAACAAACCACCTGAAACCAAAAACAAAAAGTAAATTATAGGCCTATTCGATAATGTATAATTAATAGATATATACATATTTATGTGACAAAATTACAGGTATTTTTTCTTGTGATACATGTATGAATATAGCAAAATGTCATGTTACCTTACTCTGTTGTTAATGAGTATCAATGTAACCATATACATTTAGTTGAGCTGATTGTCTTTAAAAAAATAAGCATTTCAAACTCGCTTGTAAACTGAAGTTCTTAGATCTTTTAGAAGTGAATCATTTCAAGCAGGTTATATATTTGTCCATATTTGATGAGTGCAATATGGTCCTGACTTTTATCAGCTAGAAGACAGAAAGCTGTCCCTATAGATAGCCATGCATGTTAAATTGAATTGAATTTGAAAATTAAATAAAAATGTGTGGGTAAATTCACTTCTCAGTTGTTGGAATTTGATTTTTCCCTTTTTTGATTTACCTATATTTTCCCCTTCCAAAGGCCAGTTGTTTTGAAAAAATTGTGACCATGACAATGGAGTGGCGGATCTGGTTTTGGGTGTGGCACATCACCTCTAAATGGTGAATAACTGTACCAAATTATTTTGTAATCCTTCAAAGAATGAGCAGGATACACTGCCAACAAAGAAATTTTACTATTTTTATTTGACCTTTAACCTCTTGTGACATTGACCTTCATTTCGCACAAGACAACTCAACTGCACATGGAAAACATTTATGCTAACAGAATGTTTCATAATATGAGAAAGAAATGTGTGATTAGGTCCTTTATCAAACTAACAATGTGAATTTCAAACAATTATATAAATAATTAATAATTAATGATCCCTGTAAGAAAAGCAATGAAAAACAATGCTGCACATCAAAGACGCTGCCAAATGATGTGAATGACTCACAGGTAATGTACAAAATCAGAATTGAAAATCATTCTCTATTACCGGTATGACTAAATACCTAATATGAATTCATATTCGCGAATATGAACAGGAGTACCGAATATGAATATTATTTTCTTAAAATCAGCTCTTATGGGATTACTTACTTGTACGTCAACAGAGACTATTAACTACTTGCATGATATGTATTTTAATGAAAGAAAATAAATTCTGATCTTTTGGTTGTAAAATAATTACTGTGACCAAAAAGTTACCCGAATATGAACGAGAATGACGATTTACTATTTAAACAGTATATAAAATAGCTCACAAAAGTAAAGAAATAGATATTTCAAACTATAACTTGAAATGAAACCTTGTTTTAACATAGATGACAGCATAAATTTGCTAAGTAATTTAAATACTGTGACTCGCTATAAAGTACTGTACAGATTTAATTCATATTCATGACAGATTAAGAACGAGGATACCGAATATGAATATTAAATAGAATTATAAATGAACTTTGTCTGAAAAAGTTTCGTAATCAAAGACTAATATTATATACTTGCATCATGTCATTGAATGAAATTAAATGAATTTAATGCATTGGTTGCAAATTATTGTGACCAGAAAGATACCAGAATGACAAGAATACAAAATATGAACATTAATTTGATACTGTATACATGCATATAAAACAACGCTTATAAATAAAATATATACTGTGCTCCTCTTAGTTCACGGTACTTAACACTTTCTCTTTAAGCTGAAAGCTGCTTGGGGTAATCGGTCGTCAGCAGTCACAAACATCTTGACCTCAACCTTTCGTGGCATTGTCACATATCATAAAAAGTTGGCAAATGCATACAATTTTCTGAATCGATTTTAACAATTCATGAACAAATTAATGTATTAATTAAACTGAATTTCGCCCACAAAACCCGAAAAGATGAATTTAAATTTTATTTGTGTCACTAATATAATTTTACTGCACTCAAAATAAAACGATGGTAACAAAATCATATACACATAGTCTCTCTTTGAATTTGTAAGATATTACGATGTTTTGTCAGTTTTGCATAGAAGTCAACAAGAAATAACATGATTTTCACAAAACGTTTCATGCGTAATTAATACGTGAATGCAGATATTTTTTATTGCTTTTTTACATTGAATAATAGATCTACTATTCAATTAAACCATTATAAAAACCGTTTATATATAATTATGTGCAGTCATACGACTTTATATGTATATACAAATATAATATCTCAATTTTATTACTGTTCACAAACAAGTATTATACTCTTAAGCTTATATACGGAAGAGTATACTGACCCCCCCTTATATATTTTTTATGCCTTCAAGAAAAAAAACCTTTGTATAATACATATCTTTAAACAATTGACAAGTTCTATGATATCTAAAATAGATCTTGCAGAGTTTTATCTGTTATTATACACCATAAATCACAAATATGCTTTGTTTCTTCGATGATATTTGGAAATTTAAGAGAACAGAATGTTCTTCTTAACACATAATAATATATAAGGGGATCAGCTATACTCTTCCGTAATGTTATCATAACACTCAATTTATTTTAGGAAACATATGAAACATCATCTAAGCTAAAAAAAATCAGGTAAAGAATATATATATTACATATGATTATATCATCTCTATATCTGTCACACAAATAATGCCTCGAAAACATACTGTTTTCAAATAAATAAAAGCGTTTACTCGAAGAAAACGTCTGCTTGTTGAGGTAGAATTTCAATGAAAAGAAGAAAAAACATATTTCTTATAAATAAAAGTAAGGTCTTAAGAAAGACTTAAGTTTATAATACGTATCATTAACAGTATAGTAGCCAAAAAACAGAAAAGATCAATATGAACTATATATATAACTTTTAAAAAAACATTACGCACTATCCCAGCAAACAAAAGACGTTGTACCAACGTTGTACTGACGTTAGACCCTGACGTTGGGTAAACGTTGGCAGAAGGTTGGATTTGAAAGTTTTTTAGACGTCAGAAACCGACGTCTATACAACGTCATAAAATGACCTTTATCCAACCTTTTCTGACCATAACCCAACCTTTTCTGACTATTATCTGACCATAATCCAACCTTTTCTGACCATTATTTGGACATAATCCAACCTTTTTCTGACCATAATCCAACCTTTTCTGACCATTATCTGACCATATGCCAACCTTATCTGACCAAATTTTCTGACCATGATTTAACCTTATTCAAAACTTTTGGAATATGATTTTTTTTTCATTTTGAAGCTCTTTAATAGGGTTAATAAATAAGCATTCTTATGATTTTAGCAATTTATTTTACACTAGGAATCACAAGTACAAAACAAGAAATGTGGTACTATAACAAATGCAAGATTTACATAATATTTTTTGAAACTATTAAACTTGACGGTATGTACTTTAATAACGCTTCATGTATTAATTAAGAATGTTTTAGAAATAAGATAAACAAAATCCTTCTTGAATATTAACACTGACATTTTATATAGCAAACATCCATGCATGTGTTTTTTCTTATATCACCACTGAAATGATCACTCTGAGTTTGGGATTTTTCAATCATCTATCCAACTCACTGATTGTATATTTGTCTTTGTATTTTATAACTGAATCTAGATCTGAATGTTAAATGGAACAATATTCTGAATATTTTGTTATAACTATAAATAGCAATGTTCATGTATCTTCATTAGTATTCTAGCTTCTTTCGTCCTCCTACACTATGTCGATTTGGGGCATACTATAAGCGTATCATTACCGTCTCCAACCTGAGATTTCATCACACTTTCTGAAATTAAAAAAAAAAAAATAATCAGTTACAAGTGCAAGAAATAAATCACTTATACATATTATAATTAAACGAAATTCTAACAAAACTCTCCAACTACTTAAAAAGATACTTATTATTTTTAATTTAGTTTAAACCATGTAGTTTCGTGTACCTACTGTATATATCTATTAATTTTGATAAAAATGGCTTCGTGAATTTCATTATAAAATCAAGGGTAATAAGATCACTGTATTTTCTATAATATTTTGAAATATACCTGTCACAAAATCTTCGTAGGTTTTCATTTTTCTTTTCCTCTAAATATTTTCATCTTCCTCCTGAACTTTTGACACATGTTGAATTATCATAATTTTCACAATCTGAAAGACGAAATATAATCGTTTTAGAATTTAACCATGTGGTGGAAGGATGTTTGTCTAATACAATAGGAAAAATCCAATTACTATTAATCTTAGTTAACTCATAAGCGCATGAAAAACTGATATAACAAATACCAAACTAAAATTAATTCTACTCCCGCAAAAATTGATATTGTTATTTTTTTATATTCAATGTACTTTGTACAAATGCTCATACAGCATCAAAGAAATTCACATGTTGCTGTCATTTTTATAGACATTATCTCTGCCCAGCATGACCTGGTCTGCTAAGTGTATATAGGACAGACTGGCTTAGTGTAAAAACGTTTTATGATACGAGCATACAACTTGCTGATAAGCAGGCTTATTAACAAACTATTACTTTTATTGATTTATAACTATGATAATGTGTTTTCTGATTGATAATATGTTGTTTGATTACATTAATAAAAAGATAGCTAGTCAAATACAATGTGCTTTCAGATATATCTTACCAAAGTCGTATCATTTACATGTATCAAATGCCAGGAATCATTATCATAATATAAGAAACACATGGTATGCTAACAGTATGGGTAAAGTACTTCAATTAACAACGAGTAGTTTAACAACTACACAGATATCAAAATCAAACTGCATCTGATACATGTGTAAATGACTGGCCCCTCATATAAGGGAAATTCATATTAGTAAAAAATAAGAGGAAATTTTATTTACCAGCATTTGAATAATAAGAGTCTTACGTACTGCATTTAACTTTTTATTGATTTCAATTGCTAGGATATTTCCTACCATTGATTGTGCATTTATTTGGCATGGCGATATAGTGTGGGAAAAATGATCCGATTATACAGACTGTTCTATAGCAAATGATAGTGTTCTTACGTGGAAACAAAAATATTTATCTCGCGAAATCACGTTACATTAAGTTTTACCAGTCAAACATTTCAATGATCAAATAACCATCGAATCCATGCAAACATGCGGTAAATTAGCATTGAAAACAATATATAATGTTTGCCTACCTTTTTCTTTGTTTGGAATATACAACTTTGTCTGTCAACCCGTCGTTTTTTTGTCCGCCAATACAATTGAATTTCAAATCCGATAAGTCGCAAATCCGAATTTACTAAATTATTTACCACTATAAAATGAAGCCCTCAAAAATGATAACAGCTTCATTGTAAATTATATAAACACTTATTAGACTAATTCGAGGAGATAAGATATTAATTAAACGAAAATAGAGCAAATATATTTTATACTGATCTGCGACTATCCGTTTACAGAGCGCCACCTATCTAATATCGTACGTTAGCCACCCACGTGATACTGTTGTTTTGATGGAGAAAATAAATATATAATGTTCCCTTTCTAAACTTAAACTTAAAATTCTCGCTGTTTATGCTTTCATTTATATATATATATATTGGTTTCATAAATTAAATTCACCTATTGTCAGATTACCGACCAAAACCCGACGTCGAGTCGACGTCAAAATGAAACGTCTGTTAGACGTCGGGGATTAGTAAGTAAGTAAGTAAGTAAGTAACGACTTTATTTTATGAGGCTAACACATTCAGTTTCCCGATCTTCCATGCGGGCCTCAGTATATACAAAACAACATAAAATACAATCACAATCAACATTTAGACAACATAAATATGTACATTAATTATACATCATATCAATACAATAAATAAGTAAACAATTTTTTCTTCTTACATAGAGAAGTGACATTTTCATAACTTCAGCATGGAAAGTATATGTTTTTGAAACAATATGTACAAACAGTTAGTTAGAAAATTGCCACTGGATATAGGAGGATTGAAATTTCCTCAGGGTATCAGAATTTCGAATATGGATTGGTATGCTGTTCCATACCACAGGACCAGAGTAATTAAATGATTTTCTAAAAAATTCTGTTTTTGGTTTGGGTACAGTTAGTTTTTCATTTTGTATAGATCTTAAGTTAAAGTCATGTTTGTCATTTATTGTTTGGAATTTATTTTTCATATAAATAGGAAAGGATGGTTCATTTATAGATTTATACATGAGGATTGCCTTTTTGTACATAATTCTTTGATCAAAGGACATCCAATTTAATTCTTTAAATAGAATATTTGATGGGGTATCAAAACTTTTGTCTAAAATAATTCTTGCAGCTCTTTTTTGAAAGTTGACAATTTGCGAAAGTAATTCACTACTGCAGTTTCCCCAAATAGTGCAACAGTAGTCAATATGTGGCAAAATATAAGCATTAAAAAAGAGTTTTCTGGAGTGGAGATCAAGGTACTGTTTGATTCTAAGAAGCAAATAGAGCTGTGAATTGCATTTTTTAATAATATTTTGAATTTGTGTTTTCCATTTAAGATTTTTGTCAACCTGGACTCCTAGCAGTTTTTCAGTGTCTGTAAATTCTATCTCTTTGTTTTGAAGGTGCAGAGTAGATGAAGCAGTATTTTTTGATTTAGTATTTTTTAAAGAGAAATTTATGGCCTTAGCTTTTTGTGCATTTAATATCATTGCATTTTGCCTACACCATGTGCTAACCCTATCAAGATCTGTTTGAAGATTATAATTCATTTCCGTTAAAGTACTTCCAGTAGAAGTAAGGGAAGTGTCGTCTGCAAACATATCGGTAGTTGACTGTTTAACATGAAGATGGATGTCATTTATGTATATCAAAAATAGTAGGGGCCCAAGGACTGAGCCCTGAGGCACTCCTGAGACAACTTCTGCTGGTTCAGATAAAACACCAGACACATTGACTTTTTGTGACCTGTCTGATAGATAAGATCTTCAACGTCGATTTGACGTTGTATGAAGGTCACCGACGTCGCGACCAAAATTCAACGTTGATCCAACGTTGGGTCAACGTCGGGTGTTTGCTGGGATGTTGTTATCATGTATCGTCGTATTTTAAACAGGCATATAAAATATATAAATTAAGGGGGGTCAGTATACTCTTCCATACTTATATGATTGACAGTATTTCTTATATTTGTTTATTCATAATTATCAGATAAAAATGAAGAATTATAACAATAGCAATTAATTTTTCATTTGTCAACTATTAATTAAGATTTACTATCTATTCATATTTATGTACAGCTGTCCGTCATATTTCAACATCTATAATAATACATTTTTTCAAAACGGCTTATATTAAGTTTTTTTGATATATATGATCAGTACATGTGCTGGGATTGACAAATATGCATTCTATTTGGATTTTAAAGGCGTTTTGAGCTCCAAACCCCAAGTGTCTGTGGTTGAAATATGATTTTTTTTTTCAAAACGGCTTATTAAGTTTTTTTATTAATATGCAGTATATGACTTTAAACACGTTAAAATTGACGAAATTAAAGTAGGGTGAAAAACTAATACCACATAGGCTCGTTAAAATAAGTACTATATTCTAATATAATAAGTGTATTCGTGGAGCGAATCGTTATAGGGCGAATTGTTTTTGGGGTGAATCTTTATCAATTCGCAATAAATCCATCTAAACGTTAGAAATCCTGATCAATCAAAAGCAAATAAATTATGTGTATTACATAAGATAAAATGACTTCCCTACCATTAAAATTGTAGATTGACATGACAAACTAACGGAACTTGTTTCTATCACCTTGCTCAGCGGCCTTGACCCAAACACATCATTCGTACCCTAACAAGCTCGGTCGAACAAGTATTCGTCCTGAAATAATTCAATCTATTTTCACACATTTTAAAAGCAAGTGAAATAACACAATGGTATAAAATTGTCAAGGAAAAATCTGTGACTAATAAATATGATCTTCGTTGAATCCTTTAAATAGCAGTTTTATATTTGACTAAAAAAGTAAGAATAAGTTTGCAACCGGAAATGCTTGAAGTACAAGTTTGCAACCAAAATGTGCTTGAGCAATATACTTTTTAGTATAAAACCTTTGTTAGGAAGCTGAGACCCAAAACCGAGAATGTCAAAAACATTGTCTTAAGGAATAGACATATTTATAATTTTCAAAATAGCATACAAACCCACTTTCCTGTAGAAAATATGTGCCGGTGTTGTAAATATCCATTACTCGATAACCATTTTGTCAAATTTGCAACTATTTTTTCGCTTGAGCCAAGTGTGCAACCACGTCCTGCCCCTTGAAATTATACCAATAATTAAAGTACACAATACAGACATAAATTGTTTTTTAAAAGAAGGATTGGGTCCGAAAGTTGAACTTATAAAGGCCTTTTTACAGATTTACAATGAATAAAATACTGTATGACAGCATATGTGACTTGCTTGAAATATAACTGGTCTTACATCCTTATTTTTAAGTATAATTAAAATCAAAATTGTTTCTAATCTGGAGCAAAAATATAAACAAAGTAAAGAAGAATCGATAATACAAGAACCTATCATTCTGTTAAATAGAATTAAAGTGAAATAAATTAAATAAAGAGAGAAAGAGATATAATGACTGAGGGAGAAACTTTCAGAAATATAGAAAAGAAGAAATAACTTAAATGTGAATAAGTCAGATGTATAGGAAGCAACTGTTCGTAATTCAGTTAATGTGACAATGCCACGAAAGGTTGAGGTCAAGATGTTTGTGACTGCTGACGACCGATTACCCCAAGCAGCTTTCAGCTTAAAGAGAAGATCTTCGTGTTCAACTTTATCAAAAAGCTTTACTTATATCAAAGAGTACAGCTGTAATTTCTAGTCCGTCAAATAAAGCTATACAGAATGTGTTGTACAAGACTGTTTACTGGATTACCTTTGATTCAGCTGGTCTGATTATACAGAAGAAAGAAGTTGTTATCTTCAAGAAAATTGAACAAAAACTTAAATATAATTCGTTCAAAAACCTTCTCCACACAACACAACAAGGACATTGGACGAATAGTTCTCAGGAAGAGATGGATCACCCTGTTTTAAAAACAGCACAAACATTGTTTTTTGTCATGTCAGTGGTATTTTACAAGTCTGAAGAGACTGACTGAACAAGAATCACAGAGGAATTAAATAACTGAAGCAGTTTCTTTCAAAATGTTTGAAATAACTATATAGTCCAACCAATATTAAACACTTGTTTTTTTTCTGTACATCGAGAGCCTAATTCAAAACATCCATTAGCTCAGGTACGTATATTATACGTACCTGATTAGATTTACTAAAATGAGAAACAGTCAAGTGTATTTTCATTTTCTAACACGTATATTGTTGATCATGTCAAATATTAAATACATTCACTGTGTACTTTTGTTGATTTTATTAGATTTTAAAAATATCTGGTATCATATTTGCTATTAACTTTGGCATTATTTGGACAATAATTATATCATTAAAAATTTAACACTCAATGCTTTCCAAAGGGATATACAATGTATGTGGGATGCATAAATAATGAACACACGACCAACAGTTTCAATGCACTTGGCAGTGATTCTAGTCTATCTAAATATTGTACAAGGAGGAGGTCGTGCATCAGGAAGGTTTTGGTTTAATTGTTTTTATCATATGCTATTAATATCGGACTTTTATTTAATTCTGGCTGATAATTAAAAAACTTCATGCACACCTCGAACTTCAATTACACACGTTATTTCATACTCAACTTTAAATCTTGAGCTATTTAAAACACATTTTAATCTTGTTCTTTTTCAAAATCTTGAAAGTTGCATTTTATTGTATGTACCTTACAGTAAGTTAAAGAAAAGATTGTTTTATTCGAATTTCACTTTTCGACTATCTAGATCACATATGAGCCGTATCACGACAAAACCAACATAATGGGTTTGCGACCAGCAAGGATTCAGATCAGCCTGCGCATCCGGATCCATGCTGTTCGCTATCAGTTTCTCTACTTGTAATAGGGTTGGTAAGCGAACAGCATGGACCTTATCAGACTGCGCGGATGCGCAGGCTGGTCTGGATCCATATGCTGGTCAAAAACCCATTATGTTGGTTTTGTCATGACGCGGCTCATTTCATGACCGAACATAACGTTGTAATTTATCATTAAATGATGTGTATATGATGTATATCTTTTCTCCACTTTACAAACTGGACGACGAAGGTACGTAGCTTACATTTAATATATACATATAATTTTCTATGTTTTCATCCTTTCATGATATTTTCTGTGGTTGGTAGTGTAGTATTAATCGGGTTTCTCTCTCTCCCCCCCTGCAAATCAGCAAGTACAGATCTTAGGTCAATGTTAGAGCTGTCATCGATATCGACAATATCGATGTATCGTTGATATTTTTTGTCGATCAATAATCGATACACATTTTAAAAAATCGATAGTTTTGACTTATAAATTTCAATGTCTAGAAATTATACAATTCACCCAAAATATATGCAAAAACAATTATAACAATATATCAAATGTGATGCTTTTGTTATATAGTGGAATTATTTCCAGCAATGGTGACAAATAATATTGTCTAGAAAAAATCATGCAGTGGACAAGACACTGTACAGAACATGTTTTTGACTGAAATCATTGAAACAGGTATGAAAATGAATGACAGACAAGTGAGTATAGGATATTATCGATATATCGGTGTATCGTTGATTTTAGTTACTTGATATCGATATATCGTTGATATGCTTTGCACTGAATCAATGACAGCTCTAGTCAATGTACATGTAAATGAAATTTGTATGGGCAAACACCGAACAACAATTTCAAATATGCAAATATAAACATGGTGAAAATTCATTTTTTCTGAGAAGCATGTAAATTAACAAGAGTGCCTGTACTTATTTTCAGCGGTACATTTAGTATAGCATTTTTATGTTGATATATACACTGATTCGAAGATATATGCAAAGATATCAGATGTGGTTATTTCTAAATAACTGGTTTCTTACATTAAAGTAGATTGAATAGAATAGGATGGCGCCAATAAAAAAATGATATTCTGATGCTAAAATATTAATAATATCACTTAGCAGTAGCAGTAGATGCAGTAGCAAACTTGGCAGTAGCAAAATACATATACATGTATAATAATTGTGCGTTCATAACAAACAAAATATAACATAACGGAATGTAACGTAACGCAACGTAACGTAAGACAAAAACATAACATTTACATACTTTTCAAATCACATGCAATTTATAGTCAACAGTTTATTGTACTAACTGACAAATATATAACATTATAAATTCGTTTATACAAATATTGTAAAATTTGATAGAAAACTGTTAAGTTAACGTTGCACCCTCAACTAAGCGCATAACATGTATGATAATCTAACATAATCATTATCAAGATAGCATAACCAGTGTACGCACTAAGCACATTTTTATAGGGGTTATCTCCCATTTACCATCACATATAGACGATATAAAAATGGCGTGCCAATTTATTAATTGTTATGGTATTTGTAATAGCCAAAATTATTTCAATAATATCATTATTTTAATGTTTTGATATTTTACTTAAATTCTTCTTTAAATGGTCGCCTTGAATCATTTTATGTGTGAGTAATATGTTTGAGTAAAGTATATACATGATTTATATGGTTCGATATGCTTCATAAAAATAGATAAATAATAACATACAAATATGGGACGTTCACTGGTAAAATAGAGAGAAACAGAATCGCAAAAGAACGTGCAAAACGGAATATAAAAAAGTTATAGACTTGTTTGATTGAGCCTGTTCGTCATCAGTGGACTGAAGTGTACTGGAAAATGCAAGCTACCGTCCACGCCCGAGCAGAAAGTTCAACATTTAACATGAAATCATAAAATTTTGAATTTTGAAACATCCGCAGATGTGTTCGTCATGCGTTTTCCATGGAATTTTCAATAAAGCATGTTAATGCCATTCCATGAAAAGCGGCATATGGTCCGCAAGTAAAAGAATGTGTATGTCTTAAACAATGGGAGAAACTAATAGATTGGAATTGTGAATATGAATCCTGTATATCAAAGATGTGCTGTCAAAAGACAAACTGAAAAAAGCAGGCAGTATATTAATCTGTTTCCAAGTAAGAAATACTAGCTAGAACCACCTAACTAATAAACAAGCCTAAAGAAATAACTAAAAGTATCATAAACACAACAATTATGTCATGTCATCAATGACACGTAAATATAACATCTCTTATTGTATGTACTGGTCGACTTTAGAAAAACACACTCGACCCGATTACATATACAAAATAAAAGTCCAATATTATCGATAGCTAATTTTTATGCGTTGTGTTTGCAATTTTGATGTAATTTCGCTGTTATTAATGCTGCTGAGGGATTACTTTGGTTCCAGATATTTAATTACACATCACAACAGCACGTGTCAAGTGCTGTGTGGCAGCCGTGAAAAGTTACCCAGTAGTTCACTTCAGTGTTGTTATTTTTTTCTTGTCCTTCGGTATCATTGAGTCCAGCACTATTCAGTGTTGAGAATAAAGTAAAGCTCAGCCGATGCTAGGGCGGCATGAGGGATGTTGCAATTTTTCATTATCCTTCATCAACCGAGTCTGCAATTTTGATGTAATTTTGCTGTTTTTAATGCTTCCGAGGGATCACTTCCAGATATTTGTATTTAGAAAGATGGCAATGACGGAGTGTCACACGGGTCACACGGAAAGAGTCAAATGTGAGATGGTTATATCACTTGTTTAAAACTATAAGCAGGTCTCCGAGTGGTCTTCTGTTCATTAATTCCACTGTTCACTATTAACATATTTCGAAAACTTTTTAAAATGATGAGGGTTTTTTTTTTATTAAAATATGATCAAGTTAGCGATTTTCTAACAAATATCAAAGATCTTTATAACATAGAGTCGGATTTCTAATGCACATTTGTTCACTATCAGTTATTTGACCGTTTCAAATTGTTCAAAACAGAAAATTTATTTAAAGGTTACTACTAGTACAGAAAACCCAAACAAACAAACAAACAATGCCCTGTGATTATTTTTGTCACATGTACTAATTTTAGATATTATCAATCAAGGCTTTTATTTTCATTCTTAACATAAAACAAAAATGCCGCTCAATCACACGTGCGCTATATTAAGAATGTTATATAGCCAAGAAAACAAGAACAGTCATGTGACACATTGTATTTTGCACGAGAAACACGAAGTTGTCGGAGTAAGCGTCTTAAATTTCAACTGGCATGTGTAAAGTTGAAACGGGAATGCTTTGTTGAAAATTGTGTGTTGGAATTTATTTTGGAATATTATAAAAATTAAAAAGTATCCTTTTTGTGGTTAATCGGTTTGTGAAATAGCACGTGATACTTACGTCACGAGAAGTGACCAATAGGCACTTTGTTCAAAGGTGCGAACGTATAAATACTGAGAATT